CAACAACCACAACGACCACTGCTCCCCAGTTCTGTGTCAAAGCTAGCAGCCTTGAGAGACAGACACTGTGTTTCTTTAAGTGTCCTTTGAGTTTGGGAAGCCATAAGAAATCTGAGGGAGCAAGACCAAGACTGTGGTGGACGTGGAGCAAGGTTTCCCAGTATAGTTCTCCCAGGCCAGCCGTAGAAGGAGCAGATTCTTGGTCTTGATAGAAGAAAGCCCCACAGTGCCATTTCCATGGCCTTTAACTCACCAGTGAGAATTCCCTGAAAGCTCACCTATCCCATTGGAACACATGGTTCAGCAGGGGACAAGGCCCCCAGATAACCTGTGTTTAGGACTCCCCTGTTCCTTAATCAGGCTGTCCGCTAGAATCAGGTGATGTGGGAAAGAAACATTTGCAGAGTTCAACCTTGCTCAACACCCCCCCCTCCCCATACACACACAAAATGGCCTGCTAAATGAAATGAATGATATCTAAATACTCATCAATGGGCTTATGCTTGAAAAAAAGTTTTTCTTACTGCCTGTCCCAAGGGGCAGTCGCCCTCACGCCCTATTCTGGGATCTCACTAGGGGAGGCCTGTGCTTCCCAGGGGCAGGCAGAACCCTCCTCGGGCTGAAGCCCTGGCACACGCATCGTGGGTGAGGAGCTGGGGTGCCGTACTCAGCATATGCTGGCAACAGCTGTCTGTTACAGCACATTATCTAATATGAGAAATCCAAGCTTAGCAATTTGGCAGGCCTGCAAACCACACATTCAATTATGACTGCTGGATAGACAAAGCTCCTTAACTCCTTACTAGCCACCCATGTAAGATGTCTGGGGGTTATGCCTGGGGTCGTTCTGTTTGGAAGCAAATGACTTCAAAGATCAGGAATCTGATTTCACATTGGGACAGCTGCTGCTGGGTGACAGGACTCCCAATGCCCATGTTTACTGAGAAATCAAGACAGACATTTCAGCCGTACGTTTTCAAGATAAGAGGCGTCTACAGTTCAGCCAAATGGGGAGCGTGGCCTCAAAGGAGCTCAAAGTTCCTGCTTGTAGTTATAGCTGCTGCTAAGAAACAGAGGACCGTGTCCCCGTCTGCACTCGGTGCGGTCATTTATTTCCTGAAAGTGGGGAGGGCGCGGAAGGGTGAAGATACTCACACACCGAGTTTCGTTGTTCATTTCAAAATCTCATTTCAACATTTGACGGAGTTCTGCTCCCTCTCTGAGAAGCCCCGGGGTGTGATAGGTGAGCCTGCTGACCTGGTTAGCCGTCCAAACCCCCAGCTGCTTCACGAGAGAAAGACGGTGCTAAGTGCTCTACCAAGGACTAACAGCCTCCCAATCCACGGAGTGTTTCCACTCTGCCCTAAAGGCCTGCTATGAATTCGAAGTGGCTTGATGACAATGAACTTGGTTTGGGTTTTTGCGCCCTTTCCAGTTTCCTGCCTCAGTCCCCAACGCTGCCATGATGGCTACCTTCCCCCCCACTGTTATGTCAAACGAAATAGGACGGTGGGGCTCACAGGAAAAACAGAATAAAGGCACTGGCTTCCATTTCAGAACTGAAGTTTAGAGAGAGTTGTAGCCAGCTGGGAAGTTCTGGTCCTGGGCTCACAAAGCTTGGTTTCAAGAAACAGGTGTTGACTATTGACTCTAAGCCCATCAGTCTGCAGGAAAGAAAGCTTTCCAACCCTTTCGTCATGAAAGGAATACAGGTGTCCAGGTAAAGTATTCATTTATTCATTTGAAATTCACATAGCTAGGAACCCTTGGGAGTGACGGGGGTGGGGTGGGGGTGTTACCAAGAATAAGGGGCAGCTCCGTTTCTCAGGGTCAGGTGTTAGAAAGGGGGCACCTTGACGTGGACATGCTCTTACAGAAGGCGTGTCTTTAGCAACCGTGTGACCAATGTCAAGAGGAGCAAGCAGGTCAGCACAGGCCGGGTGTGGCACCGGGAAGGCGCCGTCTGGTCGCCCGGTCTCGGTGTTCACAGCGGTGGCATTCGCTGAAAGCTGCCTCCCCAGCGCTGCGGACCCGGTGGGGACCATCACCACGTTGTGTCCATTTCCACATTTATAAAAACGACCTTATTTTCTCCCTTCTTCCTATGGGGGTTTTCATCGCAGTAAACAGAAACTCTCTTCCGAAGTGGAAGCCATGCGGGTGGGGGCCGGGGGGTCTGAGGTACTCACGCCCAAGTCTGCTTTTACAGAAGTCTGAGCGTACACGCCCTACTGATTCTGCAGGCTAATCTGAGCCGGCAGGGTAACGAAACACAGCAAAACCACAGCCAACAATAACGAGAAGTATAGGCCCTGACGTCAGCCCCAAGCGTGTTGAAAAGAAGTGCACAGAGAAACACCTGCCTGGTGGATGGCTTCTCAGAGGGGTTGGCAGGCAGGGCCAAGGGGATTGCGCTCTAAACACTGGTTCAAGGAAACCAGCATCGTGTGGGAACGTCTCTGATGTTGGGATACATTTGCATGAGGTTCCAATGATGACAACTATACAGAGTCAGCAGTATCATGCTCAAGAGGTTCTGTCTTGCTTCTATGTTTAAGCACTTGTGGTGGCACAGAAGGTTACAAATTGAGCTGTGAGCCCCAAGATCAGCAGTTTGAATCCATCCACTGATCAGCGCAAGAAAGAAGAGACTTTCCACTCCCATAAAGAGTTACAATTTTGGAAACTCATACCCACAGGTGAAGTTCTACCCAGTCCTGTTAAGGTGGCTATGTGTCAGAATTAATTCTATGGCAGTGAGTTTTTGGAATCCCCTCTCATCCACCACAGGCAGAGGTTAAGACGTACAACACATCACAACGGTGGAAGATCAATACATAAAACGATGGTACACGGGTTAGTCAAGTTGACAGTATGTATATGTATATGTGTGTATTTGTTTATGTCTAATTCTCTCTCATGAACTTCCTCCAAAACACAACCTCACCTACCCATTGCCTTTTCCAGTTCATGCTATTCTGACTCAAGTCACATATATGCGGCGTCTTGTCTTCATCATCTTTCATACCCAAGATTTTTGGACTCTTCTCCATGCTGCTGTCTCTGATTTCCCCCAACGACTGAACAGTGAGTGCACTCTTCCCATTAGTCTCCTCCCACTTACCGATATGACACATTGCTAAAATGAGGTTTCCAAATTTCCCCTTTGCTTCAAAACATTCTGTGGCTGCCAGGGCTGGCTGAAAAATGACTACATGCTCAGAGCAAGCATGCTGGAAAGCAGCCTAACTCTGAGGTCTCCCCTCAGCCTCCCAAAGATGCTTACAGATTCTCCTAACACACTTTAAGTCCCCAGGAGGTGTGCCTCAGCATTAGTTATCCTCGGGTTTTAGAATGCCCTTCAGTATTTGGAATAGCTGTTTTTGAAGGTTGCATTCAAAGGCATGTGCTTAGAGTAGAGCATTCACTTTGTCTCAGTGAGTGCAGCACCTGCTGGTTCTAGCTATGATCTCCAAACCCCAGAAAGAGAGGAAGGAGGAGGATGCCCCTTTCAGCTTTGTGGCCCTAGCCTCAGCATCAAATGAGTGGAAAGTCCCAACTCTCGCTCCAAAAGTACTAACCTTAGCAGTAAAAATTCTGCAAAAGAAGGACATTGTAGCCTTACCAAGTGAACTGTGTCTCATCTGCTACCTTAGAAATAGAAAGAAAGCCTAATGGTTCTATGTCTGAAAGTGAAATAAAAAATTAGATACTTCCCACCATTGGTTTATTTTTAGACAGGTTGTAAGTTTATAGACATACTCATCATTACACTATCACACAATGATCATCATTATGATGATGTGACTATAATTAATATTATAAAAGTGCTATAGATTTTAGAAGGAGTGATTAGCCAAACCACAGTGTATTATGCCCTACTGTTAAAAACAGCATAGAATCAAATTAACACACCATCACCATAAATTATCATGACTCTCACACCCTGTTACAACTCTCTGGTCCTGATATTAGAACACTTCAGATGTATACATGATGTGTATACAAAATTTAAGAGCAAAAATATCATCCTTTAAAGCATTTATAAATACTTTCAGTATAACTGCTTTGTCTAAATTTAGATATGTGTTCAGGGCATCATGGCAAGTTATGTAACCAAAACTTGAAAAGATGTTATTGTTTCAAAAATATTTTTATTACACATTGTAATTTGGGTAACAAGTTCAAAATAAGATGAACATGTATTTTTTCAAATGACTTTTCATCCTTTAGGTAATACACTGCAGGGAAAGTAACATAATCTAGCCTTTATTATGCCCATATGACATGTAAGTCACTGTAGAGACCCCAAAGGGCAATTCTATTCTCCTTATAGAAAAAAGAAAAAGAATATTGATTTGTACCAGTGTTCACTTGACACAGTTAGCGACTGGTTCAAGGTCCCCCACTAGTAAGTGGCCAAACTCTTTGTCAGTTTAGAACCCACGATGCTGTAGTGCCCTCTGTCTCATGAGAAAAGTCCTAATTCCTCAGAGCATGAGATATATGGCAGCATTCCAGAGTAAAAAATCATTGCCTTAGCCAGGAAAACTTTCCCTCAAGAAAAATATTCTCATTTGATTATGAGCTGAAATGACTAACTAGCAGGGACTGGAAGTGAGGATCAGATGGAAATTGGCCATGGAAACTATACAGGGGTGGGGGGCAGGGGGCAACCATTTTCCTATCAGTTATGTCTATGTTGAAGGTAATTAAGCACTTTCAAGTTGAATGTGTTCAGAGATTTTCATTTGACCCAAATATTTTTTTAAGAGACACAATCTACTTTTAAGTTTTTCTTTTAAAACAAATTTTAAAAATAAATAAATATGGTCTCGATTCTTTGGACTAGTCCTCCCTTTCTCTGAGGATCTCCCCTCCCTCTTCTTCTTTGCTAATTCTAAAGCCTCTAAAGTAAAAATTTTAATATGAAGTCAGACACACAAAACACTGCTCTCAAGCAAACATGGCCCTCCAGAGGTACCAAACAGCCCTCGTACCTGCTTTCGTCCGCGAGGCAGAGTGGCCACAGTGTCTGCCAGCATCTGGATCCTTCGATTGTCATCCATCTGGAGGCTGCCTGTGAGTGTGGAGTGAGAGCTATACGTTGGACGAGTGCTGCAGTCCACCACATTGCCATTGCTGCTCTGTTGCAGGAGGTTTTGTAACGACATTGTGCATAAAGCTTACTCCAGCTGGCACATGGTTGAGTGACCTTGCAGGATGGGGGAAGCTAAAAGTATAACCCTCTGAGAACTAATCAAAAGTAGCAAAGCTGAAAGAGCCCATGTGACTTCTGTGGTTTGAGGTACTTGTTACACAAACCCTATCTTGCAGTTCACTCCCATTTCTCAAGGCTTTTTTTTTTTTTAATTTAAGCCCCTAGGAGATTCCAAAATTGTTCTTTTATCACTAAAAAAAAAGTCAGCTCCCTGCACACACATGCACACACCCCTTCACACAGCTAGAACTCTTAGGCTTTTATGTTCTATGACAAGTTGTGTTCAAAACACCATCTGCCATTTTTTTATTAAAGGAAGAAAGAAAATTTCCCCCCAGCTCTGCCATTTGTTTCCCATCATGCTCTTGCTGAATATTAGCAGTGTGGTGTAAACCACTGAATGTGCAGACAGTCACTTCTTATGAAAATAAAAAAATGCACATTGTATTCACAGTGTTCCCTTAGGAAGCCTTTATGATGTACTTTCCCCGAAGTACAAGGGGTCTGAAAAGGTTCATGTAATAAAAATGGAATTCTACAATAGACTTTGTTGTAGCATCAGTAAGTGATCTAAGAAAAACCCATTTGGCCAACCGGTAACAGGAAAAGCAAAATGGCATAAAGGTGTTTCCACCTGGTCCCACCTGAGCATATGAATTACAAACCAGCGCAAAGTACGCAAAATCGCATAGTTTGTCAGGCTAACACTCTGAGTGGGGAGAGACGGGACATTTTGAGAGAACTGATGTCAGGGAAGGTTCAGAGGAGGAAATAAAAATGAAGAATCAGAACAAAGGGAAGTTCTGTAAATCAGAGAAGTTCAGATGGAATTTTCAAAATAGATTTTGAAGGTCAATGGTAGAATTTTAAAAAGTTAGAAAGTCTTTGAACTGAAATAGAATGAGTGAATTAGAAGTCAAGGTGAATTAAGCTCAAGCAGAGTTTGCCAAAGGTAAATAGCAAAATCTTCTGCAACAATTCTTTAAGAGATGGTGTCAATTCAGAAAAATTTTAAAACCTATCACAGCATGACTCACTACTGAAAGATAACAAACTCAAGCAAATTCATGTCTCAAAAATCAAAGAATTATCTAAATTCGGAACTGTAATACTCCAAGGGCCAGGTGGGTAACATAAATGTACACAAATGTGTAAGACAAAAAAGAGTGGGGAAGACTGGCAACTGAAGAATATATCAATTGAAAATGCATTTATATGTTAAAAACAGATAGATGAGAGATTGCATAGATGACTGATGAATGGTTAGAAGGAAGAACTGATGAAGATAGATAGATGATAGATGCATAGATGGATAGATAGATAGATATAGATAGATAGATAGAGATAGATAGATGATAGATAGATAGATAGATAGATGATAGAGATAGATAGATAGATAGATAAATATAGATAGATAGATAGATAGATAGAGAGAGAGAGAGAGAGAGAGAGAGAGATAGGTCAACCTGAGGGGGCTTCCAAAAGTTCATGGAAAATATGCAATGTGAAGATAATGGAATTTTTCCTCAAACTTTTTGAAGTTGCTTTGTACACACATACATAAATACACAGATGTGGTTGTTGTGGTGACATGCCATCAAGTCCGTTCTTTCTCCAAGAGCAACCTATGTAATGAAAACAAAGCACTGCCTGCCTGCACTGCCCCCACAATCATCACGATGTTTGAGCCCTGTTTTACAACCACTGTGTCAACCCATCTCAGTTGAGGGTCTTCCTTGTTTTTTATTGCACTCTACTAAGATCAGTCCCTCCTGATAACTTGTACAAAACACCTGAGACAAAAATCTCCCCATCCTCCTTTCTCCGGTGTTGTCTGGCTGTATTTCTTCTAAGACAGATTTTCTCATTCTTCTCGAAGTCCACGGTATAGTGAATAGTTTTCACCAACACCCGAATTCAAAGGCATCAATTCTATTTGAGTCTTCCTGATTCATTGTCTCATAGTATATTCATATGAGTTGATGGAAGACACCATGTTTGGGGTCAGGTAAGCCTTAGTCCTCACTGTGACATCTTTGCTTTGTAGTCCTTGAAAGAGGTCTTTTGCCGCAGATTGTCCCAGTGGACTGCATCCCTGGATTTCTCTGTGGCCGTTTCCTTGGATTGGGGAATCCAGCGCTTGTAGATCCAAGTAAAATGGATTCTTCGGCAACTTCAATATTTTCTCTGCTCAGTATAATCTTGCTTATTGGTCCTGTTGTAACATTTTTGTTGTTGTCGTCTTTATGATCAGGTGTAATCTAGACTGAAGGGTGTAGTCTTTAATTTTCATCTGGCAATGCTTCAAGTCCTCTTTCATGTTAACAAGTAAGGGTGTGCCATAACAATCACAAGTTGTAAACGAGCCTTTCTCCGATCCTTACGTCACATTCTTCTCCATATAATCCAGCTTCTCAGATTATTTCCTCAGGATAAAGATGAATTCACCCAGAGTGGTGATAC